TCCTACAGTGTTACTATTTCACTAGGAAAGAACAAAATGGTTTAATTCTCAGAAGTCAATCTATTAATGGTTAGAGAGATTTGTAAGCATTTTCTCTCTTACCTAGAAGAGTAGCTGGTAACTCATCTCAAGGCTAGGCTAAGATCCATCCAAATGTGCTACAATATCTCTGTTTTTCCCTTTCCCTTTCATTTGCACACATACACTGTTACACACACTACATTTGATTAATACCTTAACATTGTTAGAACCTAAAATGAATCTAACAATGCCCTGAGACTGGTAAATTCACCTTGAATACTGCTTTTTGGGCTATGTAGCTAAGAAGTATTTGTGTGCCTGCTCTTACATAAACCATTTCTCAATGTGGCCATTAATTTCCTTCCTTGTCTTCATACTTGAGGATAAATTTGCAATTTGTGATTTATTGTTTGTTTTCTGACCAACCAAAACTTTTGCAAATAGTGCTACAAACGAACTAGTGTTTTCAAAGTAATGGCCATTTGAACTTTTTGCCATTTGCTGAAGCAACTTATGTTTTGTGGTGAATCTTTCACACACATTTACATGGAGCTGTCAAACCCCATGCTGTGAAGTTGGGATGCTGACATGGGAACCTTGTGGTGCTAGAAAAAGAACAGAAATTAGCCTAGGGAGCTTGGAGCATGTGATCAAGATTGGATGAATGCCACTTTTACCTAATTACATAAAATCCAAATTGTGGAAACAAAGCCCAGCATAAAAGAAATCCAAAGGAAATGCTGGTTTTCCTCACTAACAACTTTTCTGAGGGGAAGAAAAAGATCCATCTTTTCATATGGCATAAAATTGTGAAAGACCATGAATTGCCACACTCAGAGCCAGCTAGGAATGTGCATTAATCAGAGTGTCCGTAGCAACCATAAATTTTGACCCACTAACTGGACTCAGGAGAGCAAATGAGTCATTTGTACTGGAGCAAGACTCCTGTAGGATGCATGCTACAAGCCTGTTGAGCAACCAGTCAGATTAGATCTGAGTCCTATTCACAACCATCATGGACTTAAGCCTTTGGGACAGATAGATTTGCTGCTACATCAAGAATGCCAGCAATTCTGTTTTGCTTTGATTTATGTTTACTGTGGTTACAGAGAAGGTATGCCTGCCTCATTTAATTTTGTCTAGGATTTTGGTGTCACTTTTTGGTTTTTACCATTCCCTTTGCTTTTCTCTCCTGAAATCTTTCATTTGCATACCTTCCCATACTTTTTTTAATTGCATGTAAAATACACATAACATGAAATTTATCATTTTAACCATTTTAAATGTATTGCATCATCCTGAAATGAAACTACCCATTAAGCGATAACTACCCATTCCTCCTTCACCCCAGCCCCTGACAGCCACCGTTCTACTTTATGTCTCTATGAATTTAACTATTCTAGATACCTTGTACATACAGTATTTGTCCGTTTGTATTTAGTTTATTTCACTTGGCTTAATGTCTTCAAGATTTATCCAATTGTAGCATGTATCAGAGTTTCATTCCTTTTTTTAAGGCTGAATAATATTTTATTGAGTATATATCATATTTGTTTATCCATTTATCCATTAATGAACTTACGGGTTATTTCCACTTCTTGGCTGCTATGATAATGCTGCTAAGAAACTAGTATATAAATATCTGTTCCCCAATTCTTTTTACATAAAAATGTGAAACTGCCTTTAAGGGGTAGGGGAACTAAGTTGAGAACTGAGAGATAGAAACAAGATCTTGAGTTAAGATTAAGTCTCTTAGAAGTAATGCTTGTGTCCTCTTCTAGCCTGAAAATGACTAGCACCCTCTATGAGATTTGACAAAGATTAAAGATCAATAATACAGTAAAAGTGGTTCCTTTTCCTTTCCTTCCATTTTTTTCTTTAACTCTAGGACCCCAAAGCTAGCTTTAAGCTGCTAAAATCCTCTTCCTGATACTTGACCTTAGCCTTACACTGAGGATTAGCTTGGAGAATTAGTAGAACATTTATCTCTTGAAACATTCCCAAATCCTCATTAAACAATGGGAAGTTTTTGTTGTTGTTGTTTTGTTTTAATCATAACCTTTATATGGCTCTGTACTGGCTGAAAAGGAGTAGAGGGTATCACCAGAGGATTATTAATGGGATAATTCATCTTTATAGTTTACTTTTTACATAAATATATTAAACTTTGTGAATAGTTTGAGGCATGAATGTAAAATCATTTATGCACATGCAATTTTAATGACCAATGGAATAAATGCTAGTAAATCTCAATGTTTATTTTTAAGAATGGGTCATTATATTTATAATTTCACCTTTGAGAGATAGTGCCCGTTTGTTGAGGCAGACTTTCTAGATACAGGTGTGCTAAATCATCCTTTCATCTTTAACTGAAAAGAGCAACAAGTCATTCTTTTAAAAAAATTGGTTATTTCAGGCGATAACCTTTTAACCAATTAATTGCAGATTTAAAACAATAATCTAGCTATGCCTAAACATATACCATTTATAGATGCAAAATTCTCCCCACTAAAGTCTCAATGACTTGCAAATTATTTCATCTGTAGGTATTTCACCTCCTCTCTGTACAACGCAGGTTGGCCAAGTGGCCCATGAAGTTGTCAAGGAAGACAAACAGATTACTCTGGGACATGCTTTGATCCTACTGGGACACTGGGACTGAATTAGGTGGAAATGTTGATAACTTAATTATTGAATTCTTGTGGCCTGAGTAAATTTATGCGCCTGTTTAATAACTTTTTTTTTTAAGCTCCTTACTCCCTCTTTTCAGAAAAAAAAAAAAAAAAATCAAGATCATTGTCTGGAAAGTATATTAAACAAAGTACTAAAACTCAATAGATGTGCCCCTAACCTTGTTCATAGTGTTGTGGGGTTTTTTTCCATTTTGAAATACTTTACAAATTAAAAGGCAGAAGAATATAAATGTATTCCAGTATTACTTAAATCATGCTCTTATTAATTATCGATTTATGTTGAAAATTTTTAAGTGCCTTGGACTATTCATTGGATGATCATGTTTTACTTACATTCTAGTTAGAGTTTGTGAAATCCCATTTTCTAAAAGTTCCAGTTGTGGCACACTCAAAGGTGGAAATGGAAGTGACTTTTCCCAAGAATCCTGATAAATTATTTGTTGTTTTGCAAGCTCATCGGTAGTTAAGCGAGAATATTCCTAATACATTTCCACCTTTTCAGCCATTCAGAGAGGGAAATTAAAATGCCTACGTAACCTGGTGGATTGATAAAAAGTGGAAAGCAGTTGGTGTCAGCGCTTGAGTTTCCAGGGACCTGAGCTCGGCATGATTAATTAAGGCAGTGGTTCTCAACCTTGGCTGCATACAAGAATCTTGGGCATCAGCATTTAAAAAAAATCTCCCCAGGTGATTCCAAGTCAGAGTTGAGAACCACTGGTTTAACGAGAATTGGATGGGAAACTGAGTTAGGAGATATTATGATGGTTCAAGTTAGAAATAGTAACAATTTCCACTGGCAAATTACAGTGAAGATATTTGTCCCACAAGGGAGAAAAAATGAAGAAAAGATACCATCTTCACAGAAGTGTCATGATCATAACCTTGAGATTGGATGAGGTTCGCCTGAAGAGAACCAAGTAGAGATCCTTGAGGGATAACCACATTTATGGGAGGGAGAAAATCAAAAAATCTGAGAAGTGGGAGGAGAATCAAAAGTGTCTAAAGCTAAGACCTGAGATTTTCAAGTAGGATATCTCAAGAGTAATTAAGAACAAATGTAGTAATATAAAATTATAGTAAGCTTTAAAAATGTTTTTGAAATATTTTCTTTGAAATATTTCTCTCAAATATATGTTTATTGGATGTCTTCAAAGTTGTGCTTTATAAAGGTGCTTTGAAATCCAAGAAAGACTTAAGAAATATAAAAATAGGTTCCAGTCCCAGCTCTACCTCTCTAGCCGACTGACCTTGGATAAGCCCAGTTCTCATTTTCCTAATCCATTAAATGGGGTTGATAGTGCATGCCCTGCCTACTCCACAGTACTGTTATCCTCATTAAATTAGATAACAAATGTGAAAATGTGTTGTAAAATATAGACCATTATGTAGATAATGGGTGATTATCAGTAACCTTTTTGCTGCTGTTCACAAGCACGTTAGTATTGAGAGGTTTGGGATAATTTGTATTCCTAGTAAAGAGGTAAAATAATATTAGGAAGTCCCAGGTACCCCTCTCTTCTGGGAGCTCACCATCCTACAGAAAAGACAGGATAAGGAAATAAATAGCGGTAAACACCAGGGTGTACGTTCTCTGAGAGTAGAATCATATCACTAAAGTAATCCTAATCCCTAACGCAGTGCTCGAAACCTAGGGGAAGGAGAGATTCAAAACCTGGCACATTGCCTGAATCATAGTACTAGACAAATAAATATGATAGATTCATGAATAATGGAGCAAAGGGGAATGTCCCCCAAAGCTAGTTTAGTGAACATACAGCAGGAAAAAAAAAAAAGAGTTGAAACCATATCAGATACAAAATCTAGAAATAACAACAAGTGAAAAATTATTTTTGAACCTAGAAGACTCTAAGTTGCTCAGGGCCAAGGCCATGGAAATCAGAGGAAAAAATGAAAGGTCAGAAAAAAGGCCCTCAGAAATGGTGTTAAACATGAGCTGATCATTTATTCATTTTATTGGTTATTACTACCTCTCACCCAAGGGCAAGGTATTGCTTATCTTCAGGTATGAAATCTGGTGTTCTGCTTTAAACATGGCAAGCGAAAGGATCCTGACCATGTCCTCTTCTGCCTGCAGGAATAGATAATCTCTATGAGAGGGCGCTTCACATCCGCAAACTCCTCCTGACCTTGCCCAGGTCGGTCCTAATAGTGATGAGGTACCTCTTTGCCTTCCTCAATCAGTAAGTACTCTAATGCTCTGCCAAAATACCCATCTGAATTCTGTTGGCATTGCCCTAAAGTCTTGTCTTTTGTTCTTGGATTCTGTAAAATGTACATTGGGTTCCATTTATCAGCAGAGTCAAAGAGAAGACGATGGAATATAAACTGACGGTCCATCTTTCCTCAGCAGATCAAGGTCATTGTGATAGATGAAAGATGAAGAAATTGGCCATAAATGCAAAAAAATATATACAAATTTCACTATACAAAACACTTTTCAGTGAAATATGTGTTTTTCCAAAATCCATCCAAAACTAATGTCATGAATGTTTTTGTCAGGATGATGTAAACCACCTTCTCACTGCAGAAAATTTCTGCGATTTTTAATTTTGTAGCCAGGAAAGGAGGGAAGTTGTAGATGAGACTTACACAGACCCAGAAAAGAATTTGTGCAAGTTCAACATAATGAGACATTGTCAAGAAAAAGATATTTCTTAAAAAAAAAAAAATGTAACAAAAGTCTTTCAAATCACTACATTATTTTCAAGAAACTTTTACTCTTTTAATTTAGGTAGCTTGGTTTTCAGTTGCATTACTTCCTGATACAGGGGCTCCATTATAAGAACATCTTCCCCAACTCCTAAGAGTCCCCTTACTATTAAGTGTTTCAGTTAAGCAATTGGAAATAAGTCCAGGGAAAATAAGCTGGGGAGAAATGCCTTCTCATTCTGGCATGGATTCCCCTTCCTAAAATTAGGATATTTTCTCTGTTTCACTGGAGGTTTTAAGTTCTCAAAAGCCATGAGATTTATTCCAAACCCGCTGACTTCCTGAGGTCATACCCATTCAGATTGACCCTAGAAACCAAGTATCTCACAAGAGGGAAATGCTGGCAGGGAACCATACAGAATGGAACTGAAACATCCACAAATGACAGTAGGAACCCATTTGTACATAAGCCACCACTGGAAATAAGCAGTATCTAGAAAGATGATATAAACTATGTTTAGGTTAAATATAAGCTGTAAATTTTTACCTTCAAATAAGCCTAGTCATCCAGGTTGTTGCAAAATCTGAAGGCTTGCCATTTTCACCTTTAATTACATGTGCCGCCTCTTCCCCTTGCCTTCCTGCCAGCCCCCTCCATGCTTTCCTCACCAAATTCTCCTGATACACCTGAGCAAAACCAACTGAGAACCAATAAACCACAATGCACTAGGAAAGCAAATTGTGAATCAAAAAAGTTCTCAAAACCTGAATCTAACTCACCACGTATCTCAACAGAATGGCAAATGCGCCATGAATCAGCTGGCATTGCTTCCAGCATTTCTGCCCAAAGATGCCCCCTGGCTCCCTTCATGCAGAGAGAAGACCCAGCCTCTAGGGTCGGATGCTTGGGGCAGGAATTTTAAAAAGAGAGTCTATTCTTTAATTGTAAAATCAAAACATGGGTAAATAACATTTTCATGTCAAATTTTTGCTCTTCGTGCCAGCACTAAATTAAAGACCCAGAAAAATTTGCTGTGACTTTCCCCATTGAGCTTGTGGGGTTTTTTTTCCCTTTGAAAATTAGACCGTTCTTATTCTGAATATCACTTCTCCTTCCTGCATTCATTTACAGGATGATCTGTAACATGATCGTGGCTGTTATTGTGAACTTTTTTTAATCGTATGTTTGAGAAATGGCAGGAGGGAAAGACATATGTTAGCTGTGGAAATTATGCTTTTGTGTTTTCTACTTTCTAGGCTATCTCATTTCCAAAAAAGGGGAAAGTATCATGTCATATGGTTTCTGTTTCTTTGTGTCTGTCACCAGCTCACAAAGGTAGTTGAGTCTCTTTTTTTCTCCTTCCATTTGTCATCTGTTCTCCTGGATTTTACATTTCCTTTCAAGATGGACATTTTATACACTGAAAGATAATATCTCTTGGTTCTCCCTGGAACAGCACCTTGCTCGTGTGTGTTAGAGGCAAAGCAATATAGAGCTGGCTTATTTTGAGTCACCTGTGGAAGATATCTCACAAATATCCATTGGATTGAATTTAGAAATGCTGGAGAACCAGAAATCTCCCCAAAGTTTGTAGTTTGCTAGCTTTAAATGGAATGAGAGAATTGAGGATTCTTTTCCCTTTCTCTCCACCTGGCCTCGGTCGTCGTACCTTAAGCAAATTATAGAGTCTAGAGTTTGCTTTCTCTCAGTGATTACAAAGAAAAGGTACTTTGTTTTCCTTTAGGCTTTCTTCAAGATTTGTAGGAGAATACTGAAATCTGAGATGTTTTTGAGTAGTGGGAGGACAATTTTAAAGATATCCATAAAGCTTTATGGAGATTGCTACTGCCTTTCCCAGATTAACTTGAGCAGCATTTAAAGCCTAACTGTAGAAACTCAATTATTCGATTCCAGTTTCCTTTGTAGTAGAAATTATCTTAAACTCCCTTGTGGCTTTCAAAATTGCCGCTTAATTAAGCAAGTAGGACTTACTCCCCTTTCAGTTTCTATCTAGTCGAAAGGTTGTAAGTCGCTTTACTTTCTTTAGCGTTTGCTGAGCCATCTTAAAGTGAGATGGAATATCAGTTTATTCTAATAATAAAAACCAAATTAAATGTTTTAGATCCCTATTTTCAGAATATGGAATATCTTATTAAATATCAATTTTTGTTTCTCCTCGTTCTTTTATTTCAATGCAAAATGTTTTAGTAGGTTATCAGATAGTTATTAGAATTATCTAAATATCACTTAATAAAAACTGGTATATCATGTTAGATGACCCCTTGTTCTTTTATACATCCTTTCTTACTTCCTTTCAAAGTCTTTCACAGTACAGTGATGAGAACATGATGGACCCTTATAACTTGGCCATTTGCTTTGGCCCTACATTGATGCCTGTCCCGGAAATACAGGATCAAGTATCCTGCCAGGCTCATGTGAATGAAATTGTCAAAACCATCATCATCCACCATGAGACTATTTTCCCAGATGCTAAAGAGCTGGACGGCCCTGTTTATGAGAAATGTATGGCTGGAGACGACTACTGGTAAGTCCAAAAATTTTAGTCCTTCTCCTCTGGACAAATTATGGAAGTATAGATATCACCTTATTTAAGAAAAAGAATTGACCTTAGCCACCAATGCGACCAGTTAAAAAATAAAAATAAAAAAGCAGCAGCAGGAACGCTTGAGATAAATTAGACGACACTAGCTTCTTATTATGGAAACTCATATTCATCCCTTTCTTTTCCCCAAGAATGACATCTTTTGAAATATATTCACCCTATCATGGCTTTTGTAGGGAATAATGTTTTTGATATTACGTAGAGCTATATTAATTTTTACTATTACATTAAGAAAAGATAACTGAATTGACAGATATTATTTTCATTCTGAAATAGTTTTAATTCTATATAGTCTTTCAAAATTCTCATTTTAAAGGAGCCCTATCAACCAAATGTGTTTTCATTCTTACTTATTTTCATTTTTATTCTTATTAATATTATCCTAAGCAGTTATAGTAGTACTGGTATTTTGAGCAAATTTATTACATGAATATGTCGTTGGGATAACAATTGTTTTTTAATATAGAAGTATAAATAACCTTCCGATGAAGTGTAAAAATGAGGGAGATATAGTCAGTCGAACAACTCCAATAGTAAAAAACCCTGAAATGTTTATGTTCACTATTTGATATATAAGTTTCAGCTTCTAGGAATTCATATACAATAAAAGTAGCTTTGATTGCTTGAGCCTCTATCACGTGCCAGCTACTAAGTACATATGATCTCCTTTTTTGCCTCACAACCACTTTACCAAGTAAGTTAAGAGAAGCCAAGGAGCTTATCCAAAGACTAGTAGTAACTAAGGCAGCCCCCATCTGATTCTAAAACCCACATGAATTCTCCCACTCAATAGCTGCCCCCCAGCCTATCTCAGAAACTGCTTTGTGCAGCTCAGATGTAGGAGCAGCTGGAAATAGATTTGTCTAAGCCCTTCATTCTGGATTCTCCTCGGACTCTGTTACGCATTGCCTTACAGAGATTAAGTGGAAGGAGAATTAATAGCTGACAGATCTTAAACAACTAAAAAAGTATTCTTATGTTTTACTTAACCCATAATATGATCTTAAACCACAGTATGGTCATATGCCTTAAGGAAACTGAGGGTCGACTTTTTCCGGAAGTACTGCTTTCTAAATTAACAACAAAACGTGATGAATGCCAGTTCTATAATATATCCAAGCAATTTTACATATGAAATTCAACTAAAAAATATTTACTTGAACACTTACTATGTGCAAGGTACTGACTGAGCTTGGCTCTGAGGCTCTGAGAAGGTGAATGAATAAAAAGCCATGGTGAGATACATAATTTTATTTTCATAGTCACTTTTGTTTCAAGGCCAGTGTCATAGTCATGTTCCGTATTTCCAGATATTCAAGGCTATATCAGTAAATTCTGCTGTCTGGTTCATTTTATCAAAGAGCAAGTATGTGGATGTCTGATCAGTATTATTTGATGCACTGTCCTCTAGGAATTTTCATGGTCGCTACTTTTTTTTACAAACAGAGCGGAAGCCCCAAAATAGTCTTATAGCCAGTCATATGTGCTTGATTATGTCCTTCTCCCATACATAGTGTTCTCTCTGGTTATTGCTCATTTTAAACAGAAAGTCAGTAATATAGTAGTTATCCTTGTCATCCAACACCGGCAACATAAATGAGCTTTTACAGTAAAGTCAGGTTTGTATTTGTGCCCAATGCATTCCATTTATCAGCATGCATTTGAAGAGAGAAGATGGTAGTGTTAAAGGGTAAGTTTTTTAAAAGGATAAAATCATAACTCTTACACAGATATAAAGTGAAAACCTTTCAAGAAAAGATGGAAAAGATACTACAGTCAATTCAAAGCAGAAATCAAAGAGCTATCAATTTATATGCAGCAAGGAATTTTGAAATGAATTTGCGACAACCAGTGGATCCGTAGGGCAATAATCATATTCCACTAGAACTCAACAAATTTTTATTTCTGTGGATGAGAATTATTTGTAAATCTATCGTCTTCTACAAGTTAACTTTGTCTTTACAGAGCTATAAACTAACCTTTGTGTGAAAGAAGGGACGTACACTCCCATAGGACCAAATAATCCTTGGAGGCTCCAGCATTCCGTTGAAAGGCGATCCAGTAATCTTTTGCCATTCCAAATCTTATATTTTTCCTTATAGTAGCAATTGTTCATTTTTAAGATTCTTTACACTTTGGCTTCATATATGAATTTCTATTTCCACTCCACAGCGACAGCCCATACAGTGAGCACGGTACGTTGGAGGAAGTGGATCAGGACGCTGGTACAGAGCCCCACACCAGTGAAGATGGTATGCTTTATGTTCACGCTATTGTAAAACTAGTCATTATGTACTTTTTTTTAGAATTGCTTATATTAAGAATTCAGTAGATACAAAAGAATATTTATAAAATATGTGTAAAGTATGAAGAATAACAGGGCAGTGAACACTCAAGGAACTACCACCAAGTTGAAGAAAAACATCATCACCTTTTACTTCCATCATTACCTTTGTGCTTCCCTGATCTCATTGCCTTCCAAACCCCCTCAAGGGTAACCAGTACATGTTTGTGTTTTTACATGATTTATTGTTTCATTTTTTATTTTATTAAACTTTCCATAAATGGAATCATACTGTATATGATTTTTTCTACTCAGTATTATGTTTGTGAGATTCATCCACATTGTTGCATGCAGTTATAATCATTTATTTTCCACTGTATAATATCCCATTGTATTTATTTCATAATCGATGAATATGTGAGGTGTTATCTACTTTTTGCCATTGAAAACAGTGCTGCTGTGACCATTTTGAACATTTATCCTACTGCAAATGTCCAGGAGTTTCTCTAGGATATACATATCTGAAATGAGCATGTCTTCAACTTTACTAAATATTGCCACACTGTTTTTGAAAATGGTTGTAATGATGTAAATTCCCACCAGCAGTGTATCAGTCTTTCAGTTGTTTATATTCATCAACAGTTGATTTCATCAGATATTGTAATCCTTGCCAATATTATCGGTGTGTAACAGTATCCCATTGTGATTTAATATACATTTCTCTGATTACTGATGAAGATGATTTAAAATATAGTGTATTAAGAGAAACTTTGGGATATAGTAAGGCCAACAGATCAAGAGATGATTGCCACTGAAAAGATACTTTGTTTCTCACAGTTCCCAAAAGGAAGGGGCACATCAGGCCTTTGGGGGCCACACAAGAAAACACCAGGGTCTGTTAATGAGGGAGAGGGAGCAACTGGGCAAGAGCCTTTGGTGTGGTTTCCATAGGAACAGCGAGGCAGGGTAAGCAGGTTGAGCATTGGTGGGCTTTAAGAATTTCACCAGGCTCTGGGGCACAGGGGCTATCTCTGGTTATTTGGATAACTGGCCCTGAGGCAGGTGGATAGTGATCCAGAGTGAGAGCCCCAGAGAGGAAGTCATTAGGTGTGGGCCCTGGATTGGTTGGTTTGTATTTGAAAAGCATACTCCAGGTGAGTTGTTTACTATCTGTAGGGTTCTGCAGACCCTGGGAGGGATAGTTCCTCCAGAGTCAGAATAAGGAAAATTTTTAAAAGGGTTCATACAAATATATCCAATTTTTTTATGTTTAGATTTTGTCTTTTGTGAAATTTTTATCAAGTCTTTTGCCCATTTAGGGCCCATTTGCCCACTGTTCGTTTCTCTGAGCTTTTTTTATTTTATTTATTTATTTTTTTTGCTTGATTTAGTTTGGTTTGGCTTTGGTGTTTTCTTATTTGTGAGAATTAAGAGTTCTGGATCAGACCTTTTATTGGGTATATATTTTACAAATATCTTCTGCTCTGTAGTTTCTTTTTCTTGTGCTTAGTATATCTTTTGCTAAACAGAGGGTCTTAATTTGAAAGGAGTTGAATTCACTAGTCTTTACCTTCCTGGTTCTTTCACTTTGTGTCTGCTTTAAGAAAGCCTCCTGTGCCCTGAAGTCATGAAGATTATTCTCCCATATTCTCTCTTAAATTTTTTCAGGTTTTGTTTTTCACACGTAAGTCTTTATTGGGAATTTATTTGGAGGTATGGTGTGAGGTATGGGGTCAGTTCCTTTTTTCTCCTTATGGATGCACAGTTATCCCACTGTCCCAGCATTAATTGTCCTTTCTCCACTGCACCACACCTCTGTCACATATCAAGTGCCCTCTGTGTGTGAGTCCGTTTCTGTGCCCTGTTCTTTTCTACTGATCTACTTGTCTATTCCTATACCTCTGTTTAATTTTGATATCTTTTAATAAATTTTAGTATTTGGCAAATCAAGACTTCTGACTCAGCCTTCTTAACAAGTTTTTGGCCTTTTGAAATTTTATTTAATATTTAGACTCAGTTTTTCAAGTTCTTAAAACAAGAAAAAAAAAAAAACCTAAAAACCTGCTGGGGTTTTGACTGCAGTTGCACTGATACTACATATATAAATATGGAGAGAATTGGTATTTTTATGATATTTAGTCTTCTAATCCACAAACATATTTCTAGTTACTCATGTCTCCCAATAAACTTTTATACTTTTCTCTGGAGAGGTCATTTTTTATTTTTCTAACTTCTTACGTTTACCATTTAACATTGCTTTTCAACCCTTTTTTAATATGAACATATAAAGCTGTCTGTTTTCTCTTAGTACTTTAGCTGTATGCATGATCCTTTTATTCTCTCTTCAACTGTGACTAATCTGCTTTAAACTCATCCGTTGACTTATTTTTAATTTTTTTTCTACAAGTTCTGCTGGGTTCACTTTCTGTCTGCTGCTGGGTCGTTTTTTATAGTCTTTTGCTCTTTACTCATATTAATTCTTTCCATTGTTTCAGATTATGTATCCAATCATTCTAATATCTGCAGTCTGCCTGGTTTTGGGTTTGGTTTTGGGTTTTTTTGTTGTTTTAGTTTTTGGCTTTTGCTTATTGAGTCTTATTTTCCAGTATGTTTTATAATTTTTTACATATTTTTACATATTTCTTTGAACTAGGGAGAACTTTAGAATCAGTCGAAGGTGAGTTCCTCCAGAAAAGGTTTGCATTTACTTCTGCCTGGGGCACAACCACTTGGGACCACATTGAAAGTTTAGCTTGAGGTTTTTCCAGGCCACCCAGGCAGTATGAACTGAAACTGCAAACCTGCCTGAGGACTGGAATGTAGTTGGGATTCTCAGAGGTGATTTCTTCCAAGGTTTGAGATAGATTATATCCTTAAATCCAGGGGTGGGAAGATGGGATGGGGGGTTACCATCTATGAAGGAGTATGGAGAGCTAGAAAGGAGGAAGATTTCTTGAACTAGTTCACTGTGACACTGAGAGTGTGATCCTTGGGGCAGAGGCAAAGGAGGCTTAGGTTCTCCATACTGAGACAGTCCCTGGACTTAATTTTTTGTGTAAAATGAAAGCTTAAGTTAACCGGGCAGGGAAAATGCCCTCAAGGCAAACTCTGTTTCACATTTTTCTAGTGTTCTGTTTACCTCACTAGGTTCCCACTTTCATGGAGTTTTTGGTCTTTAGTATTCCTTACTGTTGTGGTAGCTCATTAATGCCATTACGAAGATTTTTTTTTTTAATCCAGCATTTTTAGTTGATTTCAGTAGGAGGCTAATCTGGGTGTCTAGTGTGTCTGTCCTCTGCTACAAAAAGAAAGTTTGTATTTTTAAAACTATGATGAGTTGACATTTGTTGGAAGATATTTTTTAAAGTGAGAGCTGTGATGTTGCTTTTGAAAGACTCTGAGCCCCGTCTGCCACCATTCATTCTTTTGTCTTGAGTTTCTTTGTTTCTCTATATATGATTGATTCCCTTTTCACTGATGACTTCTCTGAGTGTTTCTTTGCTTTTCCCCAATGGCAGGAAAAGCCAAGAGAAAGCCCCAGCCATCTCTCTTCCCAAACATGAGTCTCACCACTGTGCCATCTGTCAGTTGTTCTTACCTCTTAACTATAAAAGAGAAGCTTTGCTGAGGGCTCTGTGCTTTAGATAACATTTTGATCATGTTTACCTGATTTGATGGAAAGAAAAGCATTGCTTACAAAGGACAGATACCCTTGCTCACAGCCAGCCCCCTAAAGTCCTGTAACTAAATTAACTAGAGTATTAATTATCTTTTTGATTGCTCAGGTATTTATTTTATTTTCTTTGTCATGGTATCACTAGAGAGAATAGCTGTTTCTAAAAGAGAGGTTGTCACAGAACAAAACCATCATCTGCAGGGGCAGTGGGTAACAGACCTAGAAGAGACAACAAGGTCCCAAAGGACAAGTACGATGTATTAGCATTTTGTATAAAATTACAAGAAATGGAAATAAAAGATTCCATTGCACCAGGCAGTCAGAAAATTAGCTCTACTGAATTTCCTTTCCCTTTGCACAAAATTATAATAGCCATGCAAAAATAAAGAAGCTATTATGTTACACTCTTATTATTATTGTTATTGATAGCAGCATTCTACAAAGTTGCTACCTAACCTTAAAGGACAGTGTGACTTTCTATGAAAGAAAGGGGTATGGTGCCTCGCCATGCCCTGAGATTGATTCGCTCTGCAGTGACTAGGCTAAGATGTGTATAAATAGCATATTGATAGACACTTGACTGTGAAATGACTCTCATGGGAGCAGAAAGAGTCAAAATAATGAAATTGCTCAGAATTACTAGTTGATGTAGTAGGGTTAACAATGAAACGTATTTCTGATTCATCTGGTCAGTCTTTCAAAATCACTCCACATTTGAATTAAATAGCAGAGACTGTTAATCTTGTTGCTGTTTGTTTAAAAAAATAAGAAAGATAATGAGCATAGAGGTCATGATCATAAAATCATGATAAAATGTGTATATTAAATAGTCTTAAATTGCCCTTGGCCAGCACCGACAGTATGCGACTAAATGGCATTGAAGAACATTAAAGTTTCTCTCTTCCCTTTGACAAGTACATGGATTGTACACTATGTTATGGGCTGGCATCTTTCCTTTTTTTTTTTCAACAAAACATTTTAACCCATTGGCATGTTTGCATAGGAGTTTGTTAATTACATGTCATAAAGTTCTTTTTAATAAATTGGTGTGTTTTTATTCTTCCTTGGATATGTTTATTTGTGTCCTCTATATCATTGACATATTTATTTCTGTCCTCCAGGGACAACTGGGGTAAAAAATTTGGTATCTGTCATCTCAGGTCAACCAGGATTTATTCCCTATCTGCAAGTTCAGAACAAACTAAAAAGTCAACCTCTCTGAATATAAAGTTAAATTCCTCCTCTATGAAGTGGACTTATAGATATTTAATAAAGCTGCTATTTACATTATTTTAATAAAGAAAATGTAATTTTAGGAGGGAATATTAGAGTGTTAACATATGATCTAAAAATTAGTCAATTGTTAAAGGACTAAACTGCTGTTTTAAAATTATTTTTACACCTAATTTGCTGCGTATACTTTAACATGCAGATTATAGTGTTGTAGTTCTGTAATATGAAACATTATTCACCCTAGACATTATCCACTAGCAAAAAGATGGGGCATTTTTTTGGTCTTTATTTTAAACGTATAGTTGATATTCACCCAGGTTTTCAGAATGCAAACCCTAAGTTCTTTCAATGTTTGTTGATTTTTATGCTTTTGCCTTCCATGTCCCAGAGAATATCTGAATTTATCAAGTGAGAAAGAAGCTTAGCTGGCTATCCCAGGATTTCTTATGCCGTTATTCCATATAAGTACAACAGATACAAAAGATATGGCAATAAACTTTGGGAAAAAATTAACCCTTTTAAATGAGAAGGTTTGTGACCAAGGGAAACAGAAGACAATTTCCTGAGAAAATATTTGACAGATAGGTGGGTTTTAATCTATTTTGCGTACATATATATGTTCTAGAGTATTTGGAAACTAATACATGCTCAGTTTTTAGCAAGTGAGGTATTGCTTATTGCACAGATATGTTTTTTTAAGCATATGTCACTTGTATTGGCTCTTTTAGTTTTGTTTATTTTTTATTACAAATTTAGTCACCTGTGGTCAAGAGCAGGGATGAAGATGAGGCGATGGCGGTAGAGGAGAAGAAAGATCATAAGGCCCCAAATTAAAGGGCATTTTGCAATAAGCTGAATCACAAAAAGTACCTCTTGTAGTGGTTTTATTTAATATGTCCTCTTATTTGCCATCAATATTACATTAGAGCTGAAATTCCAATTCTAGGCTCAGAGTTCGGTCTCTTTTTAACTTTATTTTGAAATTATTGTAGATTCACATGCCATTATGAGAAATAATACAGGAAGATCCTATATACCCTTCTACCAGTTTCCCCCAATGGTAATATCTTATATGTAACTATAGTATAATATCACAACCAGGAAATCAATATTGAATCGAATGCATCCACCACATTCACATTTCACCAGTTTTACATACACTCATTTGTGTGTGTTTACTTAGTTCTATACAGTTTTATCACATGTGTAGATCTGTGTGCCTACAACCATAGTCAAGATAACAGTTTCATCACAAGAATGCCTTTTGCTGTCCTATTAGAGCCATAGCCATTTCCTTCTGTCACTTCACCCACACCAGCCTCTGGCAATCATTAAATCTGTTCTCCATCTTGATCATTACATCATTTCAAGCACGCCATATAAATGGAACCATACAGTGTGTGCCCTTTTGAGATTGGCTTTTTTCCCTCACCATAATTCCTTTTGGTATCTTTCGATCCATAGAAAATATAATTTCTGAATCTGGTCCTTTAATTTGGGTACAGGACAGCCTTAAGTTATGCTTGTTCCATAGGTAATATCTAGAATTTTTACCAATACTAGAGAAAACAAAGTTGTCTTTACTGTTGATGGTAGCTTGAAAATTTTATAATGCTAAAAATGTAGATGAGGAAATTAAATATATTTAAATAGTAGTTAATGTGACAATCTTTGTAAACTTGAATTTCTAAAAAATAAGCAAGTAAAACAAATTTCCTAGGGTTCTAGGATAGTGATTTTTTCCATGTTATAAATGTATTAACACATTGCAAGGGAACTCCATCAATGTCAAAATAATATTGGAACTATGTGGAGGATATTACAACCCAAGGAGATATCTTATATATCATCTTGCAAAGTTTAAAATATTTTTTATTAGACTGTCCTTATATCTCTAAGAGGCTGTGGAAATTAAGCTCTAATGTTCAGTTTTTCTTTGCCTGAAAAACTGATGACAGCCAAAGAATGTTTTTCTATATCCCTTTTAACAGCCTTTTTTTCTCTTGCCTTGACGATTTGTTTATTCCCCTGTTCTGTCTGGATGTTAAAATGGCCTCTTTTATTTCTAAGGCCTCATCTAAACCTTTCAGATAGTGTATTATGCCTTCCTGACAACCCTGTCTCTCACCACTTTCTCGTGTGTTCTTTGTAGAATGTGAGCCAATAGAAGCCATAGCCAAGTTTGACTATGTTGGGCGATCTGCCAGAGAACTGTCCTTCAAGAAGGGAGCCTCCCTGCTGCTCTATCACCGCGCATCCGAGGACTGGTGGGAAGGAAGGCACAATGGGATTGACGGGCTTGTGCCTCACCAGTACATAGTGGTGCAAGATATGTGAGTAGTCCCAGCGTCAATCACCAGTGTGCTCCCACAAGAGGAGACTCCAGCCATTTTTCTTAAACCGACCTTGGTCTTGTGAGAAAAGAGCAAAAGGGATTACAGAGCTAAAACTTGTGAGCTGGCCACAGTTCTTCACCTTGCTGGTGGGTCTTGTTTGCTGTCAGAACTTCAGCACCAGCTGGTTTTCATTTCCCAGACTCTTCCAGGAGGTTGGGAGCAAGGACGAATGAGAGACACCTTTTGAAGCTTTTGGATTCTTGGAACCTGTGCAGAGAATAGCTTTAATAGCTGAAGTGACACTGCCAATTCCAAGAACAGCAGTGCTCTTCTTTTGGTGTCTGTCTACCATTCCAATTCCAGATTCCCAAAACAGAAGATACTGCCCTAAAGTCTAGAAAGTATCATCTCCAGGCTTCTTTTTTTCTTCTTTGTCAATTTTGCTGATGAGAAAGCTCTAATTTCAAAAATATTTATACAGATTGGAAGATATTCAAAATATATTAAGTGAAAGAAACAGGTTATAAAATGATAGATACAGAATAATCCCTATTTTGTGAATACAGGATTTCACAATGCAGCACCAATTTAAAAGCAGTTTTTCAAGGAAAAGAGAACCATACCATATAAAATATATACAGTGATTAAATGATTCAGCCTAATTTTTAGAAATGTTAAAATGTATATCAAATAATCCAAGAAATATTATGTGTGTGTATATAGACATGCAGTCATACGTATCTAAAGTACATAAACCTAAGTTTAGTATAAATACTATATATATATATATATGTATATATGTATGTATATGTGTATATACATATATATATGTATATACACATATGCACATAAGCATAGATATGTATCCCAGGCATAGGGGGAAAAAAGTATATAAGGATTATTTTTTAAAATTCTAACAGTAGTTGTCTCTAAATGTTATGTTATAGTATAGGTGATTGTTATTTCACTTTTTTGTTTATCTAAATTTTCCAATTTATCTGCAATGAAGTTGTATTATTTTTATGATGGAAAAAGTTCTGTTAAGAGATTTTCATACATAAATGCCATCACTTATTATTTTGTATTCCATTCATCTCACAAGAGACTCTGACTCTTGGTTCTCATTATTTCAGGGATGATACATTTTCAGACACTCTGAGCCAAAAAGCCGACAGTGAGGCCAGCAGTGGGCCAGTCACTGAAGACAAGTCTTCGTCCAAGGACATGAACTCCCCAACAGACCGTCATCCTGATGGCTATTTGTCCAGGTAAGTGGGGCCTGGTCATCGGACTCCTGAACCTTCACTTCTCCAGGGGGCCATGAGTACTCATGGGTACCCACAGCCCTGCATTATTACCCAGTGTGATAAGCTGTCCTGTTCTCTCTCCCACTTTCTCTCTGTGTACGTCTAGACAAAGAAAAAGAGGAGACCCACCCCCTCCAGTAAGGCGTCCTGGCCGGACCAGTGATGGTCATTGCCCCCTCCACCCCCCGCATTCTCTTTCCAACTCCTCAGTTGACCTGGGGTCCCCAAACCTGGCCAGTCACCCCCGGGGCCTGCTGCAGAACCGTGGCCTCAACAATGACAGTCCGGAGAGGAGGCGCCGGCCTGGCCACGGCAGTCTGACCAACATCAGCCGGCACGACTCCCTCAAGAAAATTGACAGCCCTCCTATTAGAAGGTCCACATCATCGGGGCAATACACAGGCTTCAATGACCACAAGCCACTGGACCCAGAGACAATCGCTCAGGTAGGATGCTTTTAATAGACTAATGCGTGGTAAGTACCTATGGTATGATGAGGGAGGTGTGGAGGACTTCTCGTATAGAACAAACTAATGAAAACAGAAAGGAAATTAGCTCATTCTTTAATTTAAGGCCTGACTTTGAGTCTCTTTTGAAGAACCATCTATTAAGGGAAGGGCCCAAGTACATTGATTTAAACAGAGATATAGCAGAAATGTAGGACTCAGGGCATTCAAGTGTATCATTGTTTAATAGTCAGGAAAATTTTGCAAAGAAGAATAATGAGGAAGGACTAGGCCTGCCAGATCCTAAACACATTCTAAAGATAGTAAACCAGACAGATGGAACAGAATGCAGAGCCCAGAAACAAAAATTTCAATATATGATAAAGATGATACTTTCACCTCAGGAAATGATGGATTAGTCAATAAATGATATGAGAAACAATGGTTAGGTATTTGAAGAACAGCAAGTCTGGATCCTCTGTCACTCCTGAATGCATGCATATCTTCACTTCTCAACAGTGACTGCAGAGAAGGGCTTTGTAGTTTTTCCTAACGATTAGAATTGACAAAGTAAAAGTACCTGTAAGACGATATTCATGGATTTTCCCATAGTTCTACCATTTTTACCCTCTAGTTCTTTTTGCAGCATAGGCCATCAGAAAATTACGTGTATAGCCAGTTACAAAGGAGGTGACTAGATTCAGGGTTTGCCATTTGAGTGATCTAAAGCATCTTCCAGCTATCGCTGAAGCTTAAAAACTAAATAGCTCAAAAAAGAAAGGGAATGAGAAATGAACAAAACAAACATGGGAAAGTGTTAAAGATGCATTATTTTTTTTAAAAAAGCGCCCAAGGAAACCTGTATTGAAATGACAAATTTCCAAGCCACTTTCAGTGTCCTAACTAAAACAAATTTTGCATAACAAACTAGATTATGTGAGGAGTTTAATGAGTTTTTTTAAAAATTAAACCAATTTTAAGTACACAACAATTTTTCTGCAAAAAATCAAAAAGACTTTTGACCTTTTTGGTTTTCTCTGTTTGAAGTGCTATACAGGGCCCTTTGAGGCCTGTTTAAAACCAGTGATATTTGACTATAGCTGAATAATGATTTGAGCAATCCATAATATCACTGCTTATAAAAAGCAGGTGAAATAGGATTTAGGTTAGAGAGAGAGAGAATTAGGACCTTGGGGTGGGAAGGCATAATATAAAATCTATTTAACCCTTTTGCTTCTAGAACCAGGAAATCCTTTCATTGTAAATCATAAAAACAAAAACTCAACAGATAAACACAGCTCTGTACATTTTCTCTGGGGCAAATGCTTGTTATAAGAAACAAATCCATATGCTTAGCATCAAATAGAAGTCACATATGAAAGTAATCACTTGAAAAATGATGTCATCCTCACAAAATGGCTTCCAGCTGTGTTCATTATTTATCTTTCCATCTCTCATCTTCAGATTTTCCCATGAGGACAATTAAGCCTGCCATCATGGTGTTCATGCAAAAAAAAAACATGCAAATTATTTTATTTAACAAATCAATGGAATCCCTGATGGAGGTTTTTTAAAAAACTACAGTATCCATATGTGGTCATCATGTCTTGGTTTATTCATTTAGCAAATCTCGATTGAGCATTTACTGTATGCCAAGTCCTATGCTAGACTTTATGAATGCAAAGTTAATTCAATAGCCAGCTGCTGCCTGAAGGTGCTAACAATCCAGTGAGGGAAATGGGTGTGGAAATCGGTTACCACTGTGCAGTTTCATGAGGGTTATGTTCAAGGTAAGTGAAAGAAGAGCCTTTGGAGCAGACCAGCAAAGTGGTTCTCTATCTACCCTAACTCACACAATAGCCCACCTCGTGTGTGTATGTGTATGCTAGAAAACATAATGTAAAATTTACCTTCTTAACCATTTTTAATTATAAAGTTCAGTAAAGCATATTCACATTGTGAAACAGATCTCCAGAACTTTTTCATCTTGTAAAACCGAAAGTGTATACCTATTGAAGAACAACTCCCTTTTTGCTCCTCCCCGTAGCCTTTGGCTACCACCATCCTACTTTCTGCTTCTATGAGTGTGACTACCTTATATAAAAGGAATCATACAGTATTTGTCTTTCTGTGACTGGCTTATTTCATATAACATAATATTCTCAAAGTTCATCCATGTTGTAGCATGGGGCAGGATCTCCTTACTTTTTAGAACCAAATAATATTCCATTGTATGTTTATATAAAATTTTGCTTATCCATTCATCCATTGATGGAGCACATTCCACCTTTTTGAGACAAATACTTTGTAATTCTCCCTTTCCTATATGAAATAAATTGATAGATGGCATACCTAATTTAAAAATATGTATAAATCTCTGAACATAATATAAAGGAAAAATAAAAGGAAATAAATATTAAAACAAATGTATTTCAGTTAATGCTTAAATACACTAAAGACAAATGAAATAGACACTTTCACCAACATGTGGCATCACCATAAATACAATTAAAAATGCACATTGATCCCAAAAAACAAAAGTCCTGGACCCAATGGCTTCATAGGCGAATTTTACCAAACATTCAAAGAAGAATTAACACCTATTTTTCTCAGACTTTTCCAAAAAAATTCAAAAAGGAAGGCTCCCTAACTCCTTTTATGATGCCACCATTACCTGGATTCCAAAACCAGACAAAGGCATTACAAAAAAAGAAAACTGTAGGCTGATATCTCTTACGAGCATTAATGCAAAAATCCTCAACAAAATATTAGCAAACCGAATTCAACAATACATTAAAAATATCACACACCATGATCAAGTTGGATTTATTCCTGGTATGCAAGGTTGGTACAATATCTGTAAATCAATTAATGTGATACACCACATTAACAAATTGAAAGATAAAAACCATATGATCATATCAATAAATACAGGAAAAGTGTTCAACAAAGTCCAGCATCCATTTATGATAAAAACTCTCAGCAAAGTGGGAATAGAGGGAACGTACCTCAACATAATAAAGGCCATAAATGGCAAACCTATAGCTAACAACATCATACTCAATGGGGAAAGGCTAAAAGCATTTTCCTTAAGATCAGGAACAAGATAAGGATGCCCACTTTTACCACTCCTCTTCACCATTGTATTTGGAAGTCTTAATCACAGCAATCAGACAAGAAAGAAATGAAGGATATCCAAACTGGAAAGGAAGAAGTAAAACTTTCATTATTTGCCTATGACATGATACTATGTAGAGAGAATCCTGAAGATTCCACTAAAAAAACTGTGAGAACCGATCAATGAATTCAGTAAAGTAGCAGGATACAAAATTAATATTTAGAAGTTGGTGGCATTTTTTTACACCAATGTTGAATTTGCAGAAAAAGATTAAGAAAATAACCTCATTTACAATTGCATCGAAAACAATAAAATACCTGGGAATCAAATTAACCAAGGTAGTAAAAGACTTGTTCTCAGAAAATTACAAGTCATTAAAAAAAGAAATTGAAGAAGATACAAATAAATGGAGGCATATACCATGCTCATGGGTAGGAAGAATCAACATCATTAAAATGGCCATAGTACCCAAAGCAATCTATAGATTCAATGCAATCCCTATTAAAATACCAATGGCATTTTTCAGAGAGCTAGAACAAGTAATTCTAAAATTTATATGGAACCATAAAAGACCCCGAATAGCCATGGCAATCTTGAGAAAGAAGAACAAAGTTGGAGGTATCACACTATCTGATATCAAACTATACTGCAAGTCTATAGTGATCAAAACAATATGGTACTGGCATAAAAACAGACACAATAGATCAATGGAAAAGAATTGGACCACCTTCTTATACCGTATACAAGAATAGACTCAAAAATGGATTAAAGACTTAAATGTAAGACCCAAAACCATAAAACTAGAAGAAAACATAGGCAGTAAACTCTTTGATATTGCTAACAGTAATTTCTTTTTGGATATATCTTCTCGGCCAAGGGAAAGAAAAGAAGAACAAATGGGACTATATCAAACTAAAAGCTTTTGTACAGCAAAAGAAACCATCAACAAAGCAAAAAGACAACCAACTGAATGGGAGAAGATATTCACTTATGATACGTCTGATAAGAGATTAATATCCAAAATATATAAAGAATCATACAACTCAACAATAAGAAAACAAACAATCCAATTAAAAGATGGGCAGAAGACCTGAACAGATATTTCTCCAAAATGCAGATGGCCAGTAGACATATGAAAAGATGCTCAAGGTCACTAATCATCAGAGAAATGCATATTAAAATCACAGTGAGATATTTCCTCACACTTGTCAGAATGGCTATCATCAATAAATCAAAAGAACAGCAAGTGTTGCAGAGAAAAGGGAACTCTCATACACTGTTGGTGGGAATGCAAATTGGTACAGCCATTATGGAAAACAATCTGGAGGTTTCTCAAAAAATTAAAAATGGATATACCTTTTGACCCAGCAGTTGCACTACTGGGTATTTATCTAAGGAAAACCAAAACACTAATTTGTAAAGATCTGTGCATCCCTGTGTTCACGGCAAGAGAATTTACAATAGCCAAGATATGGAAGCAACCTAAATGCCCGTCAACAGACGATTGGATAAAGAAGTTATGGTTCATATATACAATGAAATATTGCTCAGCCATCACAAAAAGTGAAATCCTACCATTTGCAATGACATAGATGGACCTAGAAGTTATTATGCTAGATGAAGTAAGTCACACAGAGAAAGATAGATACCACATGATTTCACTTATATGTGGAATCTAAGGAACAAAAAGAACAAACGAATCAAAAACAAATATAGAGGACAATCTGGTGAGAGTCAGAGGGGACGAGGATTGGGAGGCTAGGAGAATAGGGTGAAGGGTTAAAGAAGTACAAATTTGTAGTTGACAGATGGTCACGGGGATAAGGAGCACAGCATAGAGAATGCAGTTAGCATTAATGTAATGGCTAGGTGGAGAGCCAGAGGAGAGAAAGAGCAGTTAGTGGGATCGTTTTATAAACTATATAAATGTCTAACCAATGTACTGTATACTTGAAACTAATAATAAAAATTTTTTTAAAATGCGCATTGATGTAAGAGTATTGTTAGTCTTAACTCAAATTCTGTGAAATGTATTCCCATTAATGATGTGTTTTTTCTAAAATGGTGGACAATTCTTGGTCAGTCCCAATTATAACAGTATAATTTACATGATAGTTGCATTCCTAGAAAACTTAACACCATGAAAAAAATATTTTGTATTTACATATAAGAAAAAATTAGGTTCTTGGATCAAGTTATTACAAAGGGATTTTCACTTAATAAATGTCTAGAGGACATTCAAAAGTTGAATAAGATGTGGGACAGTTCATTGCATGTAAACTATCTAGGACATTTGCAAGATATCTAGTATGCCTGGCCTCTGCCCATCAAATGCTAATAATTCCACCCTCTTATGGTGTCATTTTAAAAGATACACATACATCATATTACAAAAATGACTTCTAAGGAGCAGTACCACTTCCATTGAGATCGTCAAGATCACCAGGGGAATGCTTACAGTGGTTTTTGAAGAATTGCTAGGAATTAGCCAAGTATGTACTTTGTTACATGAATGAAAGAAGCCTGATTTCTTCAGTTCACTTTTATTTCTTGAGAAGTTGTTGCAGTATCTAAATTTAAGCTACCTTTTACCGTAAAGAAGAATACTATATAATAAGTCAACGTGTAAGATGAAAACTACCAGAAGGCTACGTAGTGCCTTAGAATAACAAACGTTTGGTAAATGGCTCCATGAGCCATTGTATCTTGGTCTCTTAGACGTTCAGAGTCAACATAATTATGCGAGATGCCGTTATGTGTATACACTCTCTATCAACTATGAAATTGAAACATGCATACTTTTGCTGGACCGTTTGCTTTGAAATGAAGAAATATGGGTTTCTACACATGAGTGTTAATTATCAGTTTTTTTCTCTCTCTTTCTGATCATTTTACAACAGGATATTGAAGAGACGATGAATACTGCTTTGAACGAACTTCGAGAACTGGAGAGACAGAGTACAGCAAAGCATGCCCCCGATGTAGTTCTGGACACCTTAGAACAAGTAAAAAACTCTCCCACGCCAGCCACTTCCACAGAATCTCTCAGCCCTTTACACAACGTTGCCCTCAGGAGCTCAGAGCCTCAGATTCGACGAAGCACTAGCTCCTCCAGTGATACAATGAGTACTTTCAAGCCTATGGTGGCACCGAGAATGGGTGTGCAGCTGAAGCCTCCAGCCCTACGTCCAAAACCTGCTGTTCTTCCAAAAACAAACCCTACCATAGGACCTGCACCTCCTTCCCAGGGTCCTACAGACAAGTCTTGCACAATGTAAAAACCAACTGAGCAAGGTCATTTGGGGAGGTGATTAAAAAAAGAAAATGGATTCGTGACAAAAGTCAGCAGACCATAACTTTCCTTAGTTTTGTGCTTATAACTGGAGATCTTCTGGCTTTTCTATGTTCTTGAATGTAATGTCTGAAACTAGCTAAATTTAACATGGGCATTTGTATTTTGTAATTTCTTTTTTTTTTTAGTAACTGGACGTATGTCATTTTAAAGACAATAGAAACACTTAGACTTACTTGAAAATTCAATGCTGCACCATTTGTAATGAAGGCAACACCACTTTGCTCTCCATATTATGCAGTGCTTCAGGTTTAGTGTAGCCTGGGTGAGTCAGAAACGTCTGGATCCAAAGGCACAAGAATCTGATTTCCAGGCTTTGGAGTATAACCAGTATTTGTCTGTGGTACTCGGGGTAATGGCTGAAAAGTGACAGTGGCATTATTTGGTAGCTGACAGTTAACACCTCTGACTCCATATAGGGGACAGGGTTCAGCTCATGCGAATAAAGACTTGCAGTTGTCACAGTGGGACCTTCAGCCCACGGCCTGAATGAGTCGGATGATTGCCTCTTTCATAACAAGTCATTTCCCTGGGTCCAGGTTAAAGACTCAGCGGAAGGGGGTGGAAATTCTGCAGTTATTGCTTGAACTGAACCTGGGAAAAGGAGAGAAAGAGAGAGTCCTCCTGAGATATCCATGTGACTCCTTCCATGAGCCTGATCGGGCCCCAAGTCCATCCTGTGCATTCGCAAAGGACTAGAACATTCTCACTTTAAAGACTTTCTGGGTACACTACTCCACAAACTCCTTCCAAGATCTGTTGTTCAATAACTGCCTAGAAAATATTTCCAACTCCACCAAATCCCTATGTTCTCCTCTGTGGAAATGGAGAAAGCAAACAGCACACAAGTCCTTGGTTCACTCAACCTTCTCTTCTCCTGACGAAATGACCTTGGTTTCTTTAAACACGTACAGAGGCGTAATGATCCTAAATTGAATCCCCAGCTTTCCTCTCCTTTTGACTCTTTGAGCCAACCTAGAACTGGTACCAGAGTAAGAGCCGTGCCGGCCACGGCGGGAGGATGACGTCATGGTTCCAGGATGACTTCCTCCCAATTTTGCACCCTAGAGCCATGACTCTTTTCTTTTTTTCATGTGGTCTCTATATAACTCACATAGTCACATGAGCTATTAGGAGCCCTCTTTCTCTGACATCCTAGCGCATAGACAATTTTTAGTTAGCCCATATTTATGCTATATTACCCTCTATCTTAAAAAGGTTGTTTTGAATTTATGTTTTTTTTTTTTTGAGGTACAAATCACCATTCTCCCACCAGCAGCAACTTATATCAGCTGTAAATCTATGAGCATTTTATCAACTCTATCATTGAACTTACTGAGGAAGAGACCTTTTTTTTTTTTCTTTAAAAATAATAGATGGCCACAACTAACCTCTCTGGACCACCATTGATTTCCTTCTAGGTTTAATTTCAAACTGGTAGCCAACAGCATGCCCATCTAAGAATTACATAGCATGGACTTTATCAGCCCATTGGTGAATGCATCATGCAGGAAAGAATGAGGATCTGTACTAAAATCAAGGTCATGAGAAGATCATGACTTTGATCTCTACCTCAGTTTGCCAATCTAAACATTCTGATGCAGACAGATCAAATAGAGATATTGTCATGTTACTGGTTGCTTGTCTGCAGTCTAATTTCATAAATGTATTGAATAGTGAATTTTTTTCCAAGTATTTTCAGGTATGGTAAGTTTTTAAAGCTCTTAATTTTCAGACCTGTCCTTTTTGCCCATTTTGAAAAAGGGGCCCAGCTCAGCATCTTGTTCAACCCCTCACCATTTCTCTTGAGCTTTAGTGGTCTTTCATCACCTTGGACACATGGGGACAGCCAGGACTGAGTACTGAATAGCACTAACCCTTTTGAACAATCTGCAGATTCCCTAGGAAATTTAAACTTTCCTAAATTCTCTCCCAGTTCTCTCTGGATTCTACTTTGGTTTCTAATTTGCTGTTGCTAGATGGAGAAACAGAAGCAAAGAATAAAGGTGGAAGTAATTGAGGGGAAAAGAGAAACTAAATCTCTTAAAAATTAAAAAGGATTTTTAAACACCAGTTTCCACTTTTGATGGAACAGTAAGATGTTAACAGAGGGCATCAAAAGGGCAGAGGTGTTCTGAATTTATTTAGCGAGGGTAGGGCGGGGGTGTAGGGATGGTATCTTTTATAAGCTTTAACTTCAGCTTCTCAGATATTACTCCAAGCTCAATTCTCCAGGCTTCTCCCTGGTAATCCACCTATGTCGCCTCTCTTTGTTTATACCTGTGATGGAATGAGGATTGCCTTTTTGCCACCAAATCAGGACTCTGCTGCCTGGAATGGCAGAGGACATGCTGCTCTAGACCCTCAGAGCCTCAGAGGCTGTGCCTTCTTCCAGGAAACAGCTCCTAATACTGACCCATCACTCCCTTACTTGACCCGTCTCTGTCTCTTCTCCCTAAACCCCTGTTGTCATCCTGAGACTTTTCTTTTTTTTTTTTTTTTCAATGCCCAGAGAAAGATATGACCTCAAGATGAGTAAGGACTCACCTATCCTCAATTTGTTTAGTAAAAATCTTCAGATTCCAGAGATAAGACAAGGCAGCCACTTCACAAAGGATCCAAAATAACACCCAGTAAGCTCATTAAAAGCTTCAGAAGCTGAGCAGCTTCACCTGGCCTGCTTTCCAGCCATGGACATAGCACAATGCCCAGAGAAAGATATGACCTCAAGATGAGTAAGGACTCACCTATCCTCAATTTGTTTAGTAAAAATCTTCAGATTCCAGAGATAAGACAAGGCAGCCACTTCACAAAGGATCCAAAATAACACCCAGTAAGCTCATTAAAAGCTTCAGAAGCTGAGCAGCTTCACCTGGCCTGCTTTCCAGCCATGGACATAGCACACAAAGGGGAGGTGGGAAGGCACAAGGAGTGGGAAGAGAATAATGAGTCCTGAGATGTTATGCTTCCAGTTTCAAGGATCTTACCAGTCCTCGTGTGCATTTTGGGAAAGGGATCATTTTGATGATGGGGAAATGATGGTTCTACAAAGATTACCTGACTCCATTTACACAAGACTACCTATATGTCCATGTCCCCTCCATTGAACTCACTGAAGTAGATTTACCAAGCCGGCCTTTTGGTTCGGGTCAGGACATTAGGAATGAATTACCATAGAGGTAAAGATAATAGGACACATTTTCTGATGAGTGCTCTGTAAATGATTTCAACCTGTTATATGGCCCTTTGTAGAGCTCTTATGTTCATGTTCAGTGTCAACGGTATTGTTCAACAGTTGTGCACGTTTCCACACAACATAATTTGACGTTGGTTCCCCTTGAGCCACCCATGGAATCGTCTACAGCAGGGTCCCACGTAATCTACTGCAGTGAGCATGAACACCAATGTATATAGAGCACTAAGGGTTAGATTGTATCGGTTAAGAGTTTTTTGTCTTTGTACTTAAGCCATTTCCAAAATGGGCTTATAATTTAAGGAAAAGAGGAAAGTGGGAGGATAGTGGTCTCCCTAGCATTTGGGAAAGATAGCCTCTGAGGTCTACAAACTGAAGATACCTTGATAATTATAGCTTCTGAAATATAAAGTTAAAGAGTATGGGTCTGTAAAGGGATTTAGAAAACTTTAGAACTGGATGACACTCATTTATTCCTGACCACACTAGTGAGAGGCCACAAATGTAGGAAATGCACTTGGAACTGAGCCTTGCTCTGACTTAACCACCGCAGAGGCTCTGAGCCACAGAACAGCTTAGAAGGCTCTACCCATGTATAAATAGAGCTTCCTACTCAAGACCATCCTGAGCTGAAAACCCAGCCTCCAGCTGAGCTGAGGTGTCAGTCAGGGTTCATGCAGGGTGACTGGTACAGCTTCATTCAGATCAGTAAAATGAACTGGAAATTGAGTTTTCACTTACCCTAGTATACTTTAAAAAAAAAAAAGTGTCTACGTGATATAATAGAGATGGGTACCTGTATCTTTAAATTACGTAGGGAACTTTGTATGTTTAAATAATTGTACTGGGTTCCATAAAGCTTATCTTAGAAACTATTTAGTAAAAGAAAATATATAAACCGTGCATTTGTGAATGCCCCCCTTAGAGCATTCATCCAAGTTCAATGTGTCGTGTGATGGTTATTATAGATGTTTAGAATAAGTGGCTGTGTAACAGGAGAGACTGCTATTTACCTACAGGCTCAAAGGTAACTCCTGCCCACGTAATTAAATCGGTGTTGTCCTTTCCTGTTGGTTTGATCAGTTGCAGTACTGGTAGCTTCCTGCTTGTGACTGTTACCTAATCGTGTCAATGTACATATGTAGTATGTACATGTGAAAGTGCCTTTCTATTTTCAGAGTTGTAGCCTTGCATTTTACTGTTTCCCCTTTCTTGCTCCGCCCACCTCCCCCCTCCTCCCTTGCTCCTGTCCCCAATTCCTACTGCCTATTTGAGTGTTTTGAAACTTCCAACACTGTTCCCCAGCTTCTTTCCATCCCACCTTCCTGTGCCTCCGGTGCTCAGTATTGTCCTGTCTTGCATCCTTGTCGGTCATCAGACTTGCTTTCCTTGTAGCTGTGACTCTGCCTTCCACACCCCGCAGTAACTCTCCCTGAGTCCTCCCACCTCCTTCTCTCACGTGCTGCTGTCGCCCCTTGCGTTCACCTAAAGGCTCTGTACTGCCTCTTACCATTATATTCCCTGTCTCCGAGGTGAAAATAAAGGGGGATGCTTTTACAGTTCTGGAAGGAAAATGTTTTGTTAATATTGTTGTGACAATGCACTTTTATGTATAGTACTGTACATTTTGGCATGTATCATTCCAGGCTTCAGTACACAGTCAGGTCTGTTCACCATGTATCTTTATAATAAATAAGATAGCTCTGGCCGCCTTTGTCTGCTTCCAATTTGGTGTGATTCTCCGTGGTGTTTGCATTCTTCTCTTTTTTTTCGGAATCGTTATTTACCCCCTAGAGAGCTGAGTTGCATTAAATAATGTGAAACTACCTTTTTAAAAAAATGTTTTCTCATTTGCATTTTTGTGAATTTGAAAATGAGGCCTCAGGCATAGGGTGTTGTTCGTGAAGCCAGGGTTTTTTAGAGTCATGTTGGGAGACACCTGTGTAGTAAGTGAAAAGCGATTGGTAGAATCTTAACTGAGGCTGAAAGGGTGCAGTTTTTCTAAACACCAGATTGAAATCTTTCCTTTGAGAGGGACTCCTTGGCATTGTAAACCTTGTCAAGTTGATCTTTGCTTTCGTTGAATACACTGAAATGCAATCCTTAGGTATAGACTATGCTTAGAATTCCCCTATGTATCGATATTTTTTCTTTAAGCTTAAAAAAAACTAACTCTGGAGGACTAGCAATGAGTAATAAATCGTTTTGTAAAACTATCAGCAGTGTGTCAGATTGAATATTGATAAGAGATATGGAGTAAAAATACATCAAGGGAAAAAAAACTTTATTGACATGTAAAATACATACAGAAAAGTACACAAATCAAGAGTGCAAGAGTTTTCACAAAGTAATGTGTATACCACCCAGATCAAGAAATAGCAAGCACGTCATCAGTATCCCAGAAGCTAGGCTTGTGCCCCTCCGAAGTTCATTAATATCCTGATGAATAACAAGTTTGATTTTGCCTGTCATTTTAACTTCCTATAAAGGGACTCAGCATGCAAGTTTTGTGTCTGGCTTTTGTGAGAGTCATCCAGGTTTTTACATATAACTAGTTTTTTTTCCATATTTACTGCTGTGTAGAATTTTATTACGTGAGTATGCTTGGTGTTGTATTTGTTTTAGTATTTCCTGATTAAACTTTGGGTATGCTATGCAGAAATCTTTAAACATGGACAAGTAAATGGCGGGGGTCGAGGGGGAACCACCTGTTAATGTTTTTCTAAAACATAATGGAATGACTTAGAACTAAGCCATTGACTAAAAGGCTGACCCGAAAGCAAGTAGGACCACTTTAGGACCAAAGAGATGGATTTAGAGGCTGCCGCACAGGAACAAATGCCCAAATCAAATTATAAGCTTGTTCCAGGAAAGACCCCACTGTCCTACATCTTCCTCACTCTACCCTCAAATCCAGGAGCCTCGGCCTGCTGCAGTCCTCCATGGGTGCCTGCATCCCTCACTCCTGAATTAGAGTCCGATGTGAGTGTGTCTGGTTATCAGTTCTCACTGCTCATATGCCAGCACCCTGTAAGAACAGTAGGAAGGCAGCAAAAAGGAGTTTCTGGCTTCTACCTTAGGTATTTGGGACTCCTAAGGTGGGAAATTGTCCAACCTTGATCTAAAGTGCCAAAAAGTTCTTGGAAGCTGAAGACTACGGCAAATTCCATTCCATAGGCCATATATCCCCATTTGGATTTTGGAAAATATGGTCAATATATTTTGGGAAATAATCATGGTGGGGTTCATCATTCTTCAGTAGACTTTTATCTAGTTCTACATAGTAGATAGAAAACTTGGCTTCTATAATAAAAAAGTAATTTTATCAAGATTAATCCTCAGCAAGAGTAACTGGAGAGCTGAACCGGGCTGGATATCAAAATGTGTATGGGAGGGGGGGTGCTGTTCCTTCTGTTGTTACCTCTCATTCTTTTTATGTG